CAGCATTACTCTGTAATAGATATGTTGTCAGATCTGTTATTCAGCGGACCCATCGAATAATCAGCTTTTCTTGAATATAACACAATAAAACTTTGAACGTTGAAAGGCTTTACCATTAGACGCCATTACCCCTATCCATTATTTCTTTAGTTCGATTAATTTCTTTTTTTTACCAAGCTTTTGTATGACTGATAAGTAAATTATAGAAATAAATCTTATTCAAAATAATCGCAAATAAAGTTCTTTTATATGGATTAGAACCTGTAAAGTCAATGTATTTTTCAATGTAAAAGGCTCCGTTGTACAGTTGTCATGCCCAAAGCAATCCTTTACTTCCTGCTGCTTTTCATGATCCATCTAGTGCTTAAGGACAATGGTTTCCCAACACCTGTTTCAACAGTTCGATGGCATAGAAATCTAGAAGTGCTGCACCAGGTGGCATGATCGGTATGTCTTCGTATGGAATAGTATGAATACCAGCTTCTTTCTACAACTACTTAAGGAAGCAACTTGTGAACACATTACTTGTGTCGCATTTCCAGACGGAAATAATTCTCGATTATGTTGCCTCGGATATATGGACGATTCTTGTCGCTGATATTTGTGTTTGTGGACAGAGAATGCTATACTTAGCTTATCACGGTTGGGGTATGACTTGTTGTAGATCTGCTTCATGGTCCTGGTGCCCAAAGTTGATCCATATCATATTGTTTTAATGCCATAAAATAGAAGGGATATGAAAACATATTTCTTATCTGAACATATGTATATTTTGTATGTGTGTTCTGGTGGGTATGGGTGGGGGGAAGATGCTATTATATACCCTTCCCAAACAGTGACAAAATGTATTTCTGTTACATGCTATTCCACTGCGACTTAATATCAGACTGTGGTTATCAAGTGACTTGCTGATTTACATATTCAAAATCGTTCCAATATAACATGCTCAACCCTCAGTGTTACGCGATTTGTTACAGTCTCAAAATTTATAACATTTTAATTTTTCTCAGTTTTATATAGAAGAAAATATTTTTAAAAACTTAAGATGTATACAATTATACAGTTGATCTTTCTCACAAAAAACGTTGTAATACAGGGCTGTTAACCTAAAAAACTCAATTTTTTCACACACACATATATACAGATATGGCTAGCAAAATCTATTCTTTTCTAAAGTAATCATAAAGTGGTTTGATTTTGTTCTAAACCTCGCCATAGTTTAACAATAGTATGTATAAGAAATTGATCTTTAAGAACTAACTATTATTAAACCAAATAACTGGGCTACAGTTACTTTGAAATACATGACTGGGTATTAGTCATGAATTAAAGCCCTTAGAAACATATTATCTGCAGTAACTAATAACCGGCCATTCACCCGTATTATTAATGCTATCAAATATAAATCACCCTGCTAACAACGATCCCATAAGCCTTATGATGGTAATAGAAACAGTTTTTTTTGTTTTTGTTTTTGCTAAATTATTCATGTTTACGATTTTTTTGCATCTTTAAAGATAAATACTACACAGGAGCTCTCACCGATTTGTTGGTTGTGTAGACATGGTACTCAAAGTGATCTGGTTGAAGAGGCTGAACATAAGCAGAACAATACTGCCCCTGAAACAGCTCCCTACCTCTAGTGTTCGTCGCCACGATGTCATGACATTCTTCATAATCTCCCAGTTCTGAGATTGTCCCATGTAGGACACCACTAGGGACCTTACCAGAGGCGTCTAAAACTGGGAAAGAAATAGACACGTATATTTATATTTACTTAAAAACCTAGTAGTAACATCTACATTGGTTAACTTGTGTCTAATCTTATAGTTTAGCCTGGAGAATAGGGAAGTTTGGAAGTTTTCAAAACGTCGATCGTAAATTATGTTAGAAATAAGCAACAAAACAATGCGATTGTAGCGCCTTTCATTGCACTTGTAATTTACTAATTTTCGTTTATTTTACAAATTTATTTCACAAATAATGCCATTGAAACTGCTCCCCCCCCCCCAGTGGCACAACGGTATGTCTGCGGACTTGCAACGCTAGAATCCTGGTTTCGATACCCGTGGTGGGCAGAGCACAGATAGATAGCCCATTGTGTAGCTTTGTGCTTAATTACAAAGAAACAAACCATTAAAACTATATAACAAACTGCTACTATTTTATCCCTCATTATCCACGTTTCTATTCCTGAAGTTATTTTTACCAAACCTTCAACTGATGTTGTAGTTCTCTTTATCGTATAGAATGTTACTAAACTTTATTTAATTTACGAAAAATTATTATTATAAATTCATATAACAAATACAACACTGTCACAAAAGCATCTTTTGAGCACAAATTAGATATACAGTGTCTTGCAGTAGACTATAAATTGTTGTTGTTGTTTCTTAGTGCACTCGGTTCACCGCGAGGAATCGAGCCCTGGATTTTAGCATTTAAATCTTTAAACTTGCTACATTTCCTGTTAAAGAATATGGTTATCACTGTAAGTCTCTTAATCCAACACGTTATTGTCAATAAAGCCCCTTTAGCGGATAATTTATTTTCTTTTTTTAGTTCCATTAGCAAGCATTATATTGTCAGTGTAACCCCTTTTAGTAAACATAACAATATGTCACTGCAGCTTCTTCAGGGATCACATCAACGACCAGTGTTTTTTCTCAGGCTTCAGGAGCGGGTGACCCGGTGGTGGATCTCTCTACTTTTATACGTTGGGAGATTGAATGCTACATTGGTCAGCCTTTGTCCCCTGACATTATCCAGGCTCCTCCTAAGTCGCCTGAAATTGTTCTGCTTTTTCCTGCCTCCAGAGTTTGCTGTTCCTTCCCCATTGTAACCTGAGGATTCACCTGGACCTAATTCACTCTGTGTGGTAGACACCTCTACAAACATTATCGGTAATTGTCACTTTTAGCAGCACATTTCAAGTGTAGCATCATTGGTTTACTACCAGTGTGGATCCATATTGCAAATTTTGGAGTTCTTGCCGCATTGTGTGGAACATTCTAGTTTCAAGAGCAGTGTTACTAATATTGATACCAACCTCTTATATCAGGCAGACCAGGAAAGGAACGTCTGGTTCTCGATAGGTCTGGTGCTCAGACCAAGATCACTTACACAGTCACCCAATAATATGTCTGGTAAAGTAGTAATCAATTTTATTATGGAAATCTCGCTTGTTGCTATCTCCAACACAAGAGGGGAGACAGATATAAAAGGTGTAATTTTTTGTTTAATTTCTCTTTAAATTAGTAAATTATGTAGAATTTAGCCTCCAGGTATTACGAGGACTTGCGAATTTTACTTTTTGGTCGAAGTTATTTTTTGTTGGTTGTGTTTTGTATTTTAATTATGCAAAAAGCTACACGAGGGCTATCTGTGCTATGCCCACCACGGGTATCGAAAGCCGGTTTCTATCGTTGTAAGTCCACATACATATCGCTGTGCCACTGGGGGGCATTTTTGTTGGATTTCGTAATCATGGTACTTTAGGGTAAAATTTACACTTGGTTTGTTTGTTTTGAATTTCGCGCAAAGCTACATGAGAGCTATCTGCGCTAGCCGTCCC